TATATATATATATATATATATATGTGATTCGACCGGACGTACCGGTGTACGATAGAAAACGACATTAATCCTGATAGAGATTGATAACATTGGTCAGAACAGATTGACTGTAATCTAGACCAAGAAGTGACTATATGACTTACTGGCTAATAATTGGGTAGCAGAGATGAAATGCAAAACGAGAATAATTCTCTATATGATGAGCTGGGATGGGATAGAACTTCATAAACGCCACACGAAGAGAATTAGTGTATATGATCATGTACGAGGCACATGCAGTCGATAATGCTGAAGAAGACGCTCTAAATTTGGTCATCGTTGTGAATTCCACGAATATGAGGCAACGGAGATTAGCACAACAAATCTAAGTGTAGAACAAGTGCAGCCAAAGTGCTGGAATGTGATACTGCGCCAGAATCAATAATGCAGAGATTAACCTTCATGTGATACCAGGTTGGATACATACTTCCATTTCCCCCATTTCTTGAAGATTGAATTGAGTGTACTGAATACATATTTTGCTCCACTGCTGATGTATTTTGATAAAGTGTAGTTTCCATAATTTTATGCCCATCTAATATTATGCTGTTTTAGATGGGAGAAAGAATTCGCATGGTTGTTGACTGTGACCAGCATTCGATGTATTTTGAGAAAGGTAGTGAATTTTTAGGTATTGCCTTTAACAACTTACCACCGCTGAAGCTATTTCCAGCTATGTGTGCTGTTTATGGAAATACTGAAGTGTCAATGGTCTATATTGGCCCACCTCTTCTTGGCTAACATTCCCTGCTAGGTTAAAAAAAATGAAATGTTAATACTTCTTGAATACTAAATTTGAAGCAATCACGTTAACTTTGTTAAACTTTCGCATGTTTATAAAATCTAAATGATTGTTTTCGACCATTATAAAGTCCTGGGAAGAATGCTTTATTTGTTCAAGATTCACCGGATCGCTTCTCTGTATTTTTTATTTACCTTTTCGTTAATTATTTTAAACGTATTTATGCCAGTATTGATTTTTTAAATTTTAGTACGAAATGTTACTGATCCATTTTTTTCTTTTTGTTGAAGTCTTGTTCTGGGATAAGCAAATCCATGGAAGTAGTAAAATCGGATGATACTTCGTAGTAGATAGAAGAAATACAACTTCCTTCACATGAGACATTACTTCACACTCTTAAGTTTGTAAATGGAATAAATTCTCCATATATTTTGAATACTGTATACACATTATGTTGCAAATAGTAACAGTTTAATAACCTTTTACATTTAAATAATAATTAAAAAATATAGCAAATGCACGCATTAAGCATATGAAATCAGCAAGGTAGTTTTCAGAAATATATTAAAGTTTAAGTATAGTGAAGTTTTGCATGCCCTGTATTTTTTTAGTTTTGCAATCAAATTGTGCATTGGAAAATTGCAAATTATTCTAATTGCAAAATTTGTTTTTAGATAAAGGAAATATGACTTCCTGTGATTTCAGAACTAAAGAGCTTGAATATGAAACTTCCTATGACTGCAAAACTAAAGAGCTTGAATGCATCAAAGCTTTCAAGCTTAACTAACAGTCGAAGCTATTGAAAAAGAAGGATACATGGTGAAATCACATATGTCCTCAGTTTCTCGAAACAGATATAAATAGTGATTGCTTATAATAATCAGCACTTTGGTTAGTTAAGCTTGAACATATACACAGTAACTCCTTAAATACCATTGAACATTATAATTCTTCGTTTTTCAAAATTCAGAAATGCATAATTGTGGGTCCACTTGATTTTATCTAAAGCACATCTGGATTGGAAGTAGCTAGACATATTAGTTCTGCTTTATTAAGAGGAAAGGATCTGTTCTAGGCATATCAAGAAGTTTGGAATGGTAATTAGTGACAAGATAAGGCAAGTTTAACATATGCATATATTAGTAGTAAACAAACAAACATTAATACCTGTGGTGATAATGAGAAAGAGATTGTCAAGTGGTAATAGCAACAGCAGGAATGATGAGCTTCATTTGATAATAGTAAAGAGTAGAACAAAGCAAAAATAAGAGAACTGGAATGTAAGAGTTGCAAGGTTATAGGTTGACTAATAATCTCGAGCATCAAGTAAACAAAGAAGACTAGAACTCACATGCATATTACTGCTAAGCACTTTTAAGAAATAAGATCGACGGAATGAAACTTCAAAATACAAAAGGAGATGTGAGATGAATGGTAAGATATCATAATAAAAAGATAGGTTTAAAATGTGCATCTTTATTACGTTAAGTTGACATGTGCTTAATGCAATGGATGAAAGCATTTTGTGAAAGCAAAGGCATTTCAGAGTGATATAGTATATGTTGAATAAAAATACTGGAATACAAATGTAATGTAATGAAAACACAACAAAGAAGGCTTAAAAGACTTAAGTACACTAACTTTGCACAATACAAAGGGACATTCGGCGAAAATGCTTACCTCATGGATCGAGTGAGCTGAATTACCTTTCTTTGAATAACTTGCATTTTAGGGGATGACCAACGGACAAAAATTTCAAACTTCCGCTTCATCTTTACCATTTCCATAAAATCAGCCAGACTAATTTGACCACTGTCGTAAAACACTTGAGACTCTAACAGACTGAAAGTTGTATAGATGAATGTTAAAAACTTGATTTAAATATTAATGAGCATAAAAAAGTTGAAGATAAGAATTTACATAGAGTAGA